CTGCCTTCACGCATTCCCTCCTTCTGGCTCCTTATTGATGCCTGGCCCAGGCCTCTAAGCTGTCAATCTCAGTAAGGCAGCTAAGTAACTGGAACGGCATGACACAGGAGGGGTGTTGGTTATAAATCCAGCACTGATCACCATCAAAGCATGGGGAAAGCTCTTCCCTAAAGATACTGCACAGACACAAGCAGCACGCTTGAGCTACCCAGCTGCTGTCCCCGTGGACTCTCTCCAAATGTCTCTGTGGAGCTGGACTAGCATTCACAGCATTCACTGACAACTAGAGAAGAAGGGGGGAAGAGCTGAAATGGAGTCTGGGCTACAAATGGACTTGTTGGTCCCCACCAGTGTGTGATCCCCCTACTAGAGATATATTTGGAAGGTGCTGATATATTTACAAGCGCTTTAAGGTCCTTGGATGAAATGCACTCTGGGAAGGAAAAAGTTAATAATAAACGGTGCTTTTTTAAAAAATGCCATTCTCCTGTCTCAGACCCACCTGGACAGCTAATAAAGGCAGAAGTAAATGACGCTTAGATCTTTTTTATAACGAGCAGCAGCCTCAGAGTCATGGCCAATTTTCCTCTTACCCACACAGATTGTAACATCCATGGCTATAGGTGAGCTCCTGGCCTCTGCATTAGCCTACAAAGCCCCAGGCCAGGTCTCACGCCCATGGAAGGTGCTGTTCAAACCTACATAATACTATCCTAAAGCAGCACAACAGACCACAAAGTCTCACTGAAACCTAGTTCCGAACACGGCGTGCTTGGCAGGATGGAAGTAACTTTTCCGCTCCCTGGAGCTTTAGTCTGGTTTGTTCGTTGGAAGAGAAATTGCCATTTTTGACAGAGTGGGTGAAATTTATAATCAAAGCGTCCCAGCACAGCCAAAAGGGTGGGATATGGAATAACACTGTCAACACGGGGAGCTCAGCACAACAGGAGAAAACGTTGAGTTAGAAGGATGGCAGCAGCTGCCAATAAGGACAAAGGCAAGAAAGAGCAGACTCCGAAGGGCTTGACCTGCAGGAAGTCTCTCTTTGAGGAGGGTCATATAAATACAACAGGGAGAAGAATGCATAACCTTTGACCGGATTTCCAGTCTGTGAAGGAGAGGAGGGCTGGCATTGATAAGTGGACACTAATAACAAGCAGTAGCTCTGCAGACAAGCCTGCTTTGGCTTTCTCTCGCCAATCCATCTGGCACCATATCCCACAGGGTCTCCCTGGCTGACACGTCCCATGAGCAGCTAATACTCAGAGGGATGACTTTCTACAAGGAAAGTAGGCTCCTCCTCCTCTACCCAGCAGTGGTTCCCACACCACACCAGACCTATGGTCCAACACCACTGTACTGTCCTTACACAAGGTTTGGGCTTTTTACACTGTGACGGTGTACCCCATAAGGCTTTATGGGGGGGTGCTTATAAATATATGTATGACAATTGGAATATGTTTTGTGCTGCCTGTACCATGTAATATATCTCCGTAAAGGTTAGGGTCTACTATATCTATTCATCCTATTTGTACATGTATCTCATTTTCTACTTGAGGTTAAGAATATGGGCTGAATGCTGGCTTGGTTTCTAAGTAAGCTTTGTGAGGCATTTAGTCAGCTTCTTTAGGAAGGAATTCGCCAGGTTAAGTACCTGATCAGGAAACACTTGGAGAACAATGCATCTTGGAATGCTCCAATCCACATAAGAAGTCTTCCTGGAGACATGCAAGATACCATGTGGGCAATGGCTTCGGCCTGTAAAGGCTGAGTCATGCAGGGACATGTGACTTCCCCAGGTGACTCCAGAACTCCATCTTGGAGCTGGACTTTGCATAGGAGGGAGGAGGAGGGTCTCCACCCACAAGAGAGAGTCTATTTAAACCTGTGGGAGACCCCTCCATTTTGTCTTCAGCTGGCTAAAGAAGGAGCCTCTCCACCCACCCACCCAGGATACTTGAAGGAAACTGAAACAAAGGACAGTAACTACAGGGGTGTGAGTGATTGCTGGACCCACACTAAAAGGAGATCAGCCTGTAAAAGGGAGCATTCTGGAACTGGTGAGGAACTTATCTGTCTCTAGTTTGATTAGACATAGATTTGCGCATTTTATTTTGTTTTGCTTGGTGACTTACTTTGTTCTGTCTGTTACTACTTGGAACCACTTAAATCCTATTTTCTCTATTTAATAAAATCACTTTTTATTTAGTAATTTACTCAGGGTATGTATTAATATCTGGGGAAGCAAACAACTGTGCATCTCTCTCTATCAGTGTTATAGAGGGCGAACAATTTATGAGTTTGCCCTGCATAAGCTTTATGCAGGGTAAAATGGATTTATTTGGGTTTAGACCCCATTGGGAGTTGGGCATCTGAGTGCTAAAAACAAGCACACTTCTGTGAGCTGTTTTCAGGTACACTTGCAGCTTTGGGACAAGTGATTCAGACCCTGGGTCTGTGTTGGAGCCAGATGGGAGTGTCTGGCTCAGCAAGACAGGATGCTGGAGTCCTGGGCTGGCAGGGAAAACAGGAACAGGGGTAGTCTTGGTACGTCAGGTAGCAGCTTCCAAGGGGGTTTCTGTGATCCAACCCGTCACATACACTTCCCCCCCCCTCCCTTTTTTTTTTTAAACTTTAGTCTCATTTTGTTTGGGATCTCAAAGCAAATGGGGGATCCTAGCTTCTCAGGAAGTAGACAAAGAATCAGTAAGAGACGCTGGCAGCGAACAGCAGCAGCCGACATCCTCCTCCAAGGTGAGACGTGTTTCAAAAGGAAGGAGGTTTAATCATTCCTTCTCAAGGACATTTTAATCAGAGGCAGTTGTGTGAATTCTGCACTCTAAGCTCATTCTCTTGCTTGTTCAGATCTCTCTCTCTCTCTCTCTCTCTCTCATTTTCTCCCTCTTTCTATCTGCTTTCTTTTGTCTCTCCATGCTACTGCCCAGCCCCCACTTTCCGAACTCTGGTACGTTGCTCTGTCTCAAGCAGAGCAGAATTTATCATGGGAAGCATGTATCCAATCTCCACGCTATCAGAAGACTCCATCTGGCCACATTAAGAAAAGAAAGAACGAATGAACGAAGTGGGGGGAAGGGAGGGGGAAGAAGAAAACCATGGCTGAAACACAGAAGGTCGTCGTCACCTTTACGTTTCAGATTTCAGTTGACAGAGATCCTGAGAAGGAACAGAAGGCGAATAAGCTCAGCATCCAAATGAGACACTGGCCTGTGCTGCGGCCCACCACAGTTCCCATGACAAGGGTAGACTGCAGGAGCATCTCCACAGTCCACTACCCGTGGGGAAAAGGAAGGCTGGCTTAAAGAGCAGCACTACTGGGGGGGGGGGGGGCACTTCATTCACAAGTGTGAATCTCTGACACTTATGCGTGAGTCACACCACCACTGGCAGCCAGGTGCACGAATCCTGGTGCTATCATGCAGGTCCTTCCACGCCAGGAAGCTGTAGACTGAATGCCGGCACTAATCCCTGTGCTGTGGGCCTCCTTGTGCTGGGATGCTGGATGTGTGAATCTTACCACTACTGCGTAACGTGTGGATCCAAAAACACTCAAAAGCTATCAGAATTTGGTGTTTACTCTGGACAGGTGTTAAACAGCTTTTTAAATCTAGCAACCGTCAACTGTTATGGCCAATTATTATTGTAAAACAGAACACTACTAACAATTCAGGTAGAAAAATCAGAGTCCCTTTTGTTGCATCATTTGTTTCCATTAAGCAACTGTCTTCTTCCTTAGAGGTCTTTGATTCTTCACAGAGCCAGTGGGAGCAGGAAATGGCCTTCGCCCTTAGTGCATCTCAACAGGTAGAAGTGCTTTTCATCTCAGAATGTAGGGTCCGATCCTGCTCCATTGAGGCCAGCTGGAATTCCATCTTTGACTTCAATGGGAGCAGGATCGTATGTTGTGGATGTGCCAGTGGGAGTAGGACACAGACCGCTTTCTTACAGCTGTGGTGGCTCAGCAGGGCTAAGAGGACTAAAAATGGAACAAAAACTCACTTGCCTCGCTGAAGTCTGCAAATAGGAGACGTATTCTGTGTAAGTCCTGAGTGGTGGTATTAGAAAACTGGGAATGGGAAACAGGGGGTGGATCACTGGTGATTACCTATTCTGTTCATTCCCTCTGAGTCACCTGCCATTGGCCACTGTCAGAAAACAGGACACTGGGCTAGATGGACCTTTGGTCTGACCCCGTATGGCCATTCTTTTGTTCTAGGACTCTGAATACCCACAGGTAATTGTGGAGTAAAGAAGTGGCCTTTTGACGTAGTCTCTTTCTTGAGAGTATACTTTAAAGTCTCTATATTTTCTGTCAGTGATGTGGCTGTTAAGCATTCAAAACAGGATTTTCAGTTCATCTTTAACTAGGTTCAGGTGGGAATAACATGAAAAATGCAGGTGGGAATTAATATAAAAATGTATTTCCCCTCTAACATAAGCAGAGTATGTTTTCAGGGCTGACAGAAGGACCAAAGAATGGCGGACCTAGAGCCTTCTACAAAGAAACACATGCAAGGGCAAGGGGGTTGACAACTGTACGTGTCGAGACTTGTATATCAGTCTCTCAGATCCATTGGCAGCGGTGATAGGAAGAGGGGGAAGAGAGAGAGAGAGTCCACCAGGACGAACCCTCAACTAAGCAGCAGCAGAGCATTCAGCAAAAAATTATCAACCACCCCCCCCCGACCCCACTCCTCCCAGCTGCCCACACTTCAACTGTTCTGGGTCACCAGGGCTCCATACAGCAAAAAATGTCAGAGGATGTAAGCGGGTGTAGCCCCATTCAAGTCAATGGAGCTATGAGGATTTACACTGGCTCGGAATCTGACCTCATGCTTTTCACAGCCGCCCTGGCCACGGGAAGCTCCCATCACCTCCTCACCCACCCCTGCTTAGAAATGGCAATGCCTACACCTGGCTCCAAGTTCTGGCTGAGGAGAAAGGAAACGAAGCAGAGAGCAAAGCATGCTGGGATGACTCACAGAGGGCCGTACCAAACTGAGAATGTCTGCTCGTATCCACCGTCATAGCCAGGCTCCCAGGAGACGTTGGCAGAGGTCATGGAGACCATCACATGCACACTACCCGGGGCATGAGGGCTTGTGCCTGAAGGTAGAGAGAAACTCAGTGTAAGAGGCAAAACAGAAAAATACATACACATACGTGGGGCCAGTCACCAGCGCACCCAGAAGAATGGTAGCCCTTGGATTGTGGAATTTATGGTTGTTTAAAGACACAACAGGAGCCTAGAGAAATGGGAGCTTATTCTTAAGAGTGGAAGTACATTTTCCCCTGCCTCTGTGCGCTCAGAGGGCTTTTAAAACTTTACTTTCAGGAGGCAAGATGTGTCCCATTGGAGAATGCATCCAGATAGGTCAGTGGTGCCGACCACTTCGGTCTGTACTGGTGGGGATAATGCAGAGAAGGGGCCCATTCCAAGCACCAGCTTCTCCCAGCAGAAAGCGTTATTGGGAAACATGCAGGTGTGCTGGACACACAGAGCTACTGCACACCTAGCCTTCTCAGCAGGCAAGTCCATTAATTAGAGTAACCACAGAGGAACATACTTTAGTATCTAGGAGCTCACAGGATTAAGAAACCCTCAAGATTTAACCAAATTGTCTTCTAACTGTGCCACAGCAGGGGAGGACACACTTGGCCAGCGAGGAGGGGAGCCCTTCGATCTGCCTCAGGACGTGGCCGTAATAAAGAGGACAGAGATTTAAAGACAGCACCACTGGAGCGTGAAATTAAAGGAAAACGTTGCTCTTCTTTTCATGGGAAGCGTCCCTGAGTAATGCTTTTCAGACACACAGCTTGGAGCAATCAGACAGGAAACATGACCCTCTCTCCTGACACAGAGAAGCACACCCCAGCCTCCAAATTATCCAACAGCCAATCCATTCACAAGCTGAAAGCCCAGGTAATCGACTCCAGGAGCAAACAAAGGGTACGTCTACACTACATATTAAGGTGTGTCTGTAGCCCACCAGGGACCCTGGGTATGTGCTTGGGTTACTAACCTGCACTCAAGTCCATGCTGCTGCACCTTCAATGATGTTACCTGCGGTAGCTAGATTAAAGCTAGCACCGATATGCCTACCCACGCTACAATTACACCTTAAATTGCAGTGTCGATGCACCCAACGCCATCAGGGAGCCAGCCGCTGGAGATGCAGGGCTCAGATCAATTCAGAACACAAAGGAGGGTAGGGAAGGCTAGGAGAGGAATCCAAAGATGTTTTCCCCACCCTCCCTCCCCACACACACACAGTCACAGCCAGTGTCCTATATGGAGGGCACCTGAAGGGACTAGTGCTGTCCTTCCCTCTCTAACCTCATCCCTCCCACTCAGCACCTTTTCCCACCCCTCAGCTGCTCCTCTGTTTCCCCATCCATCCCCAACCTCCTTTATTCCAGCTCAGTCCTTTCCTCCATGATCCCTTTGCCTGCTTATCCCCTTGCATGGCCTTTGCTGTCCCACCTTCTCGACCACACCTGCTCCTTCTCTTCTATTTCCCCAACCTCCACCCTTCCATATTCCCCTTCAGTTATCCCCTCCCGCCATGGCCTCCCAAGCCCCCTCTCTCTGGCCCACCAGCCCTGGGCCTTCTCCTACCTATGACTGTAAGGTGAGTGCTGGCAGTAATGCTTGTGACCACATTGGTAGCGATGCACTCCCACTCCCCATGGTCGTCCTTGCTGAGGGATCGGAACTGCAGGCTGCCACCTGGAAGGGTGTTGTGCTTGCTTCTACTGGGCTTCCCTACCTTGAGCAAAGAACAGAGAGAGCAGAGGGGAAGAAAAAAAACAACAACTCAGAAGCACAGTGCAAGGCAGCAGCATGAGGTAACACACTGTTAGCTAGGTTCTATGGTGAGACCCACAGAATACCAGCTGGGGGTCAAGAGGCTCCAGCACTGGGGCTGGCTACCAAGATCGGCAGATGGCAGCACGTTTACGGATTTTCAGTTAAACATGCCAATTAAAATGGCAGGATAATGAGACATAACGCATGCAGAACAGAGCTGTGTTTACACAACTTGGCTACACGAGCATAAACACACAGACATACGGACACCACGGACCTCAGAGGAGATTCAACCTGGGACGTTGAGCATCCAAAGCACAAGTCTCTCTAGCACTTGAGATAAAAGAGAACTCCTTTAGCTGCAAGTAGCAGGCTATTGTAGTCTCTGGTGCCAGCCACTAGAAGGAGATATGATCACACGCACGAAGCCAGAGTTTTATGTCAGTTAGGGTGAATGATATGGATCTTTGATTGCTCCAGTTGACACTTTCAGAACCTAAAATGAGTAACCACTTAGTGCCCACTGGAGCCTGCAAATGCACCATTAAGAACAAACCTGCCCCGTTTTAAAAATGTGATCTCCACCTTTTACCTGGTTCTACGTTTCCAGACTAGAGGTCAAATTTGTCTCAGCTGCAATGGTACAACTGAGTAGAGAATATACGAATAATTAAATAATACTCTGATTTACTCTTAGAAAGTAAATTGTATCCACCCCATAGTGTTCTTCAGTAAAGGTTCAAAAAGGACATTTCACAAACAGGGCTACCAAAGCTGGAACCATTTCGGAAGAAAAGCCTAGGTGTTTTGTTTTAAATGAAAAAAAAGGTGGACCCTCTCTCTTTTGATGGCTGAGACGCTGGGTTACATAACCAGTGACATTCACACCCATAAACTGAAGTTGTACAAATCCTAAATCGCTTCGAAGTCCTCATTCTCCATAATGTGTGCATAGCTTTTCTGTGGATTTCTTGTGCATAGCTTTGTTGGGATTTACTGGCCTACTTTGCAATGTTCTCTTTCAACACCTGGAACACCTGTAAAGGACTAGATTTTTTTTTTTTTGGGTGGGAGCAGGGCGATCAACCGCCCCAAGTGGCTACCAATGCTGAATCCAAGGCCTTCAGTGGCTTCGACACAGAAGCCAGGTTTGAGGTGGCAGGAGTTTTCATGAGCCTGTAGTGTGTGTGAGGGCCTTTGGTTTTATGTTTTCTGCTGGAACTCGGATAAGTCCAGACTAGTCCTGACTTAAAACACCGGAGGATGACATACCCAGGGATAATCAAGGCAGAAGAAACAGAAAAAAACATGGGGCTGAAGGGGAGGTGTTGAAAAGCAGGAAAAATAAAGAAGAGGATTAAAAGAAATGAAGGAGAATGGAAATAAGATGGACCGAAAGATGCACACGTTGTAGAGCAGTGAGCAAATCACTTCAATTTCTCATTTTCTTACCCATGTCCATTGAGGTTTGCACTTGGGCTACTTTATTATCTTCTGCCTCGAACCCAGAAAAATCAAGGGCAATGCCAGCTGTGCATGGTCTTCCACCGTGAGCCGGCGTACCCTTGCACTGACTCCCCCAACATGACTACTTGATTGTCCTGGTGGGAGCCCTTCCATCTCCCAAGCTAGGTGTGGCGTAGTGCTTGGGAAATCCCAGCCCTGTATGCAGGGTTGGAGAGCTCCACAAAACAGCAGCAAATAGAGACGAACGAGCAGTAAAAGGATGAAAGGCCTGGGGAGAAGGTCCTGCAGTAGGGACAAAGGCCTAAGCAGGTCCCACTGGTTTGACTGTTTTTCTATAAGGAGAATGGAGACTTGAGGGAAGGGGCACGCTGGGTAGCATGGAGGGGGCCCTGGGAATCCCACAACGAGTGACTATATTGGCCGCTGAGGAATGACTATTGGTGCTACTGGTAAACAAGAAGTTTGTGTATTTGGGCAGAAGAACCAATCCAAAGGATGGAACTCTCCAACCCTAGCTGCCAGACTGTACAGAAAAAGGGGGAAAAGGCTGCCCTTCAGGCCAAAATCCACCGGGCTATCATAGCCATGGTCATAGAGCCATCCCATGACTTGCCAGTTCAAGAGCCCTGAATTAAAGCAGGATATGGAGACATCATCATTATGCCAACGCAGGCCACATCACAGGGGCACTTGGGGACACAGTTGAGACAAAACTAAGAATTGGAATGGAAAGCAATATTTATGTGCCCTCCGGAGGTGTTAAAGTAACAGGCTGATTCTTCACAAAGAACACCACACGTGCGGGCAAATGCCCAAGGCTGCAGAATATACATTCTATGAGGAAACCAAAGCAGCTGCGGGATTGCACTAAAAAAAGCCTGATAGCTTCCACCGAGCGAGGGACACTTTCAAAAGTGCAGCCACGTCCAGTCACAGGGAAGCCCTGCCCTACCATTGCCAATGCTCCATCGGCTGATGCAGCCAATGCAGCACCGTCCCAATCTAGCACCCCGGGAGGGTTATTCCATCCTGCAGGTGGCGACCCCTGCAGAAAGGATGGGGAAGCTTTGGTGAGCGTTCCTGAAGTGGATACCAGTGCGGAGCAGCCAGAGGAAGGGCGGGAGGGCTTGCTAGCTTTGCAGATGCTGCTGTGAAGGTTTCATGGTATTAAACACTGTTGTCAGGAGCTGGGTTTCCCCCACCCACCTGCGGGACAGGACGGCAGTGGTGCAGCCCGAAGCGAAGCAGCTGTACCTGCAGTTTGTTCTTACCGGGACAGAGAGTGTGGCTTCTCTGTCTGCAATATTCATCAAAAGCCAAAGGCACTGCAGATTTGTCTGGCAGGCCGGGTACCTTTCTCCAGGCGATGACAGGAAAGGGGTCTCCTGCAGCAGCACAAGGGATCAACAGCTCCCTCCCTGCCTCTTGTCTGTACTCCCAGCCTGGTAGCACCGTGAAATAGGGTGGGTCCTGCAGCGGAGGGAAAACTCAAGTAACCATCACCAAACACAATTGGCCTGCGTACACACACAATCGCTCCTTGAAGATCTACTCACAAATCAAGTTAAAAACTAGTGGGTTTTCATCAAGGCAGAATGATTTAAAAATCACCTGTTTTGGGGGTTTTTTTTAATTCATTGATTTAAAATTAGGTTGGGGCTTTGTAAAACGAATTGCTTTAGCAACTTAAGCTTACAGCAAGTTATAAATGCTGGGAAAATTTCTAGAGGACCACTCAGCTGGGTATCATCTCTGAACTGAACATAACAAAATGTGGGGGGGGGGGCAAAAATATTGGAAATTAAGGCCCTGAACTTACGAACACTTAAGCAGCTATGTAACTAACTTTTTTCTTTATGTTGAAAGCTTTAACAGGTTTACAAATCATTGCCAAGTAAACTTCAAAATAAAATGTTAACCAACACAACACTGAGCTTGTCTTTTTGTTTAAAAAAAAGATTATGCAGGAACTTTACTCCCAAGAACAGTCTCGTGGACGTCATTGGGAGTACGAATGTGCTTCAAGTTAAGCATGTGCATAAGTGTTTGCAGCATTGAGGGCTAAAATTGTATATTTTTTATAAAATCTTTTAGTGGCAAAAATCTTTGCTTTGATGGTAACTTATTTTGACTCAATGTCTTCGCAAAGTTCTAGTGATGTAAACAAAAAACAAAAAACCCACAAACCAAAATTTTCAAAAATAGGAGCCTATGCCCATATTTATGCACCTAATGTGAGATTTTCAAAAGCATCCAAGTGACTTAGGAGCACAAGTCCCATTGACTTTAAACTATAAACCCTGATGGAGACTTATAACCCACTTCAAACACTGCAGCTTTCTTAACTTGCAAAACTTCAATATATATGAAGGTATTGTTGGTCACAAATCTAGCACAGGCTATTTGCTAATCAATTTTGTGTTTGAGCTTGTGTTTTTCCACACAGTGCAACCATTACTGAGGGCACACACTTATTTTTTACAGCATACATGAGCACTTGAAGTATGAAACTTCATAGAAAAAAAGTGCTTAAAAATCTGAAACTACTAACTATTCGAAAGCTAGCTAAAGAAACAAGTACAAACCATCCATTGCAGCAATTAAAGACTGTACAATGGAAAGAACTAGCGACATGTAATTTTTTTAAAATCATTTCAATATAAAAACTTCATTTTATCCATCCTGATTTTTATAAAACACATGCATGTGCATCAATCCCCAACACCACCCCAGAGAACTCTTCTTTGGCATGATAATTCCATCATTTAAGAAACTACTGAAAGTTTTCTGATTGCAAGGAATCGAACAGGTATGTTACCTTCAGTACCAGTCGGGCAGGGGGGGACTGGCCCATCGTACCCAGGGCGTTATAAGGCACACAGGTATAAGTGCCGAGAGCTTCCTCTGTTACCTCCTCTATTCGGATTGACCCGTCTTCCAGCAGGTTCCAGCCAGAATACTGCAAGGCCAAGAGAGATGAGAGTTACCCTGAGGCCAATAGACGTTATTGCTATCCATGATCCCAAAACATCCCCTCAATGTTGCCTGCAATGCTTCTGCAAGCTGTCCAAATCTTATTACAAATAAACTTAAGAATGGATTAACGAGTCCCTGTCATTTCTGGACTGGAGATCCTGTGTGTTGTCTGAGACCCTTTAGCCCTTTTTCTGCTCCCACCTTGCAACACTTTCAACTACAGCACAGCTGCTAACGATAGCTTCGTATCATAAATGGGATCCCCTTTGCAGATCAGACAAATGGAAATTTCATGGTCAGGCGTTAGAACCTCTGCTCCCTGGTTGCAGAGTTTCTACCACTTTAGGACTTTTCTTTTTCAGCTCCTTGAATTTCTCTCTAGATTATGAAAAACCCACTAAGATGCCAACCTGATGATTAGTATAGTTTCTTCTGGCCCATTTGGACTTGATTAGCATAATGGTCTCCCTTCAGGACTTAAAAAAACAAAAAACAAAACACACATTTCTCCTCGAGTCTGCCACAAAGCCAGGCTACTCAAAGAGCATAAAAACCACCTTTAGGAGCCAATATACAGCAATGGAACATCCAGATGGTGCAAATGTTCTTCAAAGCATTCCAGAGCTCCTTAACCTCTATAGTTTCCTACCTCCAGGGAGCAGGGGCAAAAATGGTCTCATTAAGATGTTTAATTTTATTTGCAATGTGACATCCTCTCTTCAGAGATGGAAAATACCTGTACTGTATCAGGCCCACCAAGGCCATCATCCCAGGCATTAATGAAGGATTGCTGTCTAATTCGCTGGTGAATAGATTTTATTCAATCTAGTTTCTATTGTTCCAAGCAATGGAGGTGCCAGCACTTCTTTCGGGCGGACACTCCAAAACTGAACCAATCTTGATCTCGGGAAGTTACTTCCTCCTGATGTTCAGCTTGAGTTTTCTTTCGCTCAATTTCATGCCATTACTCTCAGTCCAGCAATAACTTCTATTGGCCTCAGGGTAACTCCCATCTCTCTTGGCCTTGCATCTGAAGAAGTGAGGTTCTTACCCACGAAAGCTTATGCTCCCAATACTTCTGTTAGTCTTAAAGGTGCCACAGGACCCTCTGTTGCTTTTTACAGATTCAGACTAACACAGCTACCCCTCTGATACTTTACTCCCAGTCCTTGCTCCTGGACCGCCCTAAACAACATTCCTGCCATTTAAAGATTTGTACCGAGTCACGAAACCCACTCAAAACGCCATTTGAACAAATTCTTTTAATCCTTCCTGAGAGAAGTCATGTTGCTGCTGCTGCTTCTCTGAAATTCTTCCAACGCTCCACATCCTTCTGATTCAGCTCCTCAGCAGTGGGGAAGAGACACAGAGTTTGAACTTAACATGACAGCTGCTGAAACCAATTTCGTCAACAGTGCTGCAGCCAAAAGCAGATGTGTTTTTCACTAAGCTAACATTTCTCCGGACCATCACCAGGCTTGTGCCAGGTGCTTGGTGTCAAGTGGCACTGAAATGGTGAATCCCATCATTTTGCTTCTGCCTATTTGCTGCATACAGGCTATGGCTGAGATTTTGATACGTTACCTTAAATATAATGGAAGGAGTGTGTCTAAATCCCCTAAACTGTTTTGAAAAAAAAATCTCCTAAGGTAACATATCCAATGTTTGTAAAGCACTTAAGATGCTATCTGTAACAACAACGGGTTTAAAAGGAAAACAGCGTGGCAATGTCACTACCTCCAGGAATTTACAATCTAAAGAGACACTTAGAATCACACACAGAACCAGGGTTACTTTCCTTGTGATTTCATAAACAAAACAAAAAAAGTCTCTTCTGAACGCAGTGGGGTTTAAATACTGCTTTAAAAATGTTTGTAATCATTTTGCGGCTACCAGCTGTGATGGCTAGTTATAATGGATCTATCTGAATGGTATAAATCTATTGCTTTAGGGAAAGTCGTTGGCACAGGGCCCTGGTAATGGGGTATGGAATACTTTGCCGTGGGCACTAATTTAAATACACTACCCAGATCAGTAGTGTTCAGAAGTCATTACTATCAGCAGATGAATTGGTGGGGGTCCCAGTCCATTCTCTTTTGTATCCCCATTAGAGAGAAAAAAAAAGTCATCAGCACAACTGGGCCTTTGTTATTCTCCTCAGAGAGGTCAAGGACTCAATGTTCAAGAGACACTGAACTCCTCTCTGAGTCCTAGCAGTGGACCCAACAACAGGGCAGGGTTGAGGCAACATGGGGGAGGCAGGCATTGGCATTGTCAGTTCCTGTGCTGCAGACAACGGATGCTTGTCTCCAGGGCTACTGATCCAGCAACTGCCACCACTCCTTTTTTCTGGTATTAAAATGAGTGCAATGCCCAGGTTAAAGGGGCCAAGGACGGTGAAAGAAGTTATCATAGAATCATAGAACCGAAAGGGACCTCAAGAAGTCATCTAGCCCAGTCCCCTGCACTCAAGCAGGATTAAGTATTATCTAGACCAAGGGTCCCCAACGCGGTGCCCGCGGGCACCATGGCGCCCGCCAGGGCATCTAAATGCGCCCGTGCACTGGCTGGCGGATGAGCACCCGCCGACAAGCGGCATCATCCAGAGGAAAATCGGCGGTGACACCTACTGATGTTGCCGCTTGTCGGCGGCATATCAGTGGATGCTTGTCCGCCGCCATGGTCCTCCGTGACTCGTCGGCTGGCGCCCGCCAGATGAAAAAGGTTGGGGACCACTGATCTAGACCATAGCTAGCTCACTCAGCCAAACAAAGTGAAAGGAGACCTTTCCCCGAAGAATAATTGGGGCAAGAGTTTATATTCACAACTGGAATTTCTGAATTTCCTCCAGCTGACAGCAGCCATCTTATGGAAATCACATCATCTGAGATGCCCATGCCATACAAGGCTGATACCGGAGATGACAGGCCATGTTCTAGATCCGCTGCGATCCCTGGTTTGAACAGTCAGAATAAAAAAAAACTTTAAACCTTTAATATTTAACCAAAACTGTAAATATTGAATGTTTAGTTTAAATATTAAAAGCCTGAAGTCCTTGCTCGGATTGTTATACCAGGATTATAGCAGGATGGAGACTCTTTAAAACGGCTTTTAACATCAGCCTCCCATAAAATGCCGAGTCGCCAAGGTGGTCACTTTAATAGCAACACTGACATTAGATTTGTGAGATTTAGATACTGCACTGATAGGAGCTATATGAAAACCTAGGCCAAAGACTCCATGGTAGGATACGTTTAACTGGCACATGAAGTCCAGGGTTTTTCCCCCCTCTTGATGAGAAAGGTGGCTTTACAAAGAGCTGTCCCTGAGCCTGTCAATATTTGCAATAGAAAGCTGGGAGTGGCTATAAACACTCACAGGGGGCGAGTCTGAGACGGAGGGAGATTATCCATCCCTGCATCCACAGGAGGGCATATTTTTTTAGTGGAAGAGGGGTTACTGCTAGAAAGAGCCAAACCATTAAGTCAGATTCCTAATTCACATGCCTTCTAGAAAGCCAGAAACAAGTTCCTTTCCCCCCACTCCTTTCCTTCATTCTGCTTCTCCTTCTCCAGCTTGCTGGGGTTTCTTCGTAATTGTTAAAAAGGGTTTTCCTCTGCAGCCTTTGAGACAGACCACACCTCCTCCCCACATCTCAACTCAGCATTTCTTCCCTCTCTCTGGCCAAGTTTATTCCCCCTTCCATTTCCTCTCTCCCACCCTCACTTCTCCCTCCTACTCTACACCATGCCCTGTCTTCTAGGGATGGAAGCTCTAGGGAACATGGGCCCTGATCATCCCCCAGGTGAAGGAGGGCAAGTGGCAGAATGACTCTGTACGTGTGGGAGAGGTGAGAGCTCTGGCACTCAGCACAAATGGCAGAGTTCTCCTTCAGGTTCTCTCTCAAAAATAGCACGTGTCTCCCTTTTGCAGTGCGTACTACTGAGATTTGTTCTGGGGCAGGAGGCTGGCACCTTCTGTTTAACTGAGAAGGGAATAAAACAGTGGGAGGAGGTTGGGACATCTACATAGAAGTGAGTATTGCCTCTAGGAGGTGCTAAATGCCAGCAGCTCAATCCTGAAAGGTGCTGAGCACTGTGCCCCCAATCCAGCAAAGCACTTGAGCACCTGCTTACTTCTAAAGCCCCACAAGCAGCCCAGTGAAGCAGAATTGAATGGGGGAGGCAACCGAGTGACAGAGGATGTAGAAAAAACTAATGCACTCAATGCTTTTTTTG